GTGTGTGTGTGTGTGTGTGTGTGTGTGTGTGTGTGTGTGTGTCACAGAAGGGGAGGGAGGGAGAGGCACTGTGCACCGGGGCACCCGAGCGCATCTGCGCGGCACGGTGCTGTGCGCCTAGATGAGCCCGAGTGCAGGTCCCAGTGCGTGGTCCCCCGCCCTTGTGCCCATTTAGGGGTGCTTTTGGTGGGAATGAACGACTGCGAGGGTCCCGGCACGAAGGGGGGCGGGCTGTGTGGGTCGTGAATGCCGGAACCCGTGTGTCCGCACAGCCGCATGCCCGGGAGCGCGGGGTGCGCCCTAGTGCAGACCCCCAGCCCAGTGTCCTGGCGGTGGCTGCGACCCGGACAACTTCTCTCCCAGCCGCCTTTAAAAGGAGAGCAAGGGGGCGGCGGGAGGTGGGAGGCACTGCCAGGGCTCCTGGGGCGCGCATCCGAGATCAGAGCCTGTGAGGGGCAGGCGGGGGAGCAGAGGAGAAAGGGGCTCCTCTCTGTTGCTCCTCTCCTGGCCTGGCAGACGCACCCCTAATGGTCCAGGGTCCTTTCCCTGGTGCTCAGGCGGACAGGACAGTGTGCCTGTCAAGTCCCCAAGCGGCAGCCTCCTCTGCCGCCTGGACCACTCTTGGTGGACAGGGACTGGGGGTGCTGGCATGACCATCTTCCACCTGACCCGTGTCCTCCTGGACATAGCAGGGAATCCTTTAGGAAACCCTTGGTCCTGAGGGTCAGCGGGTGGGATGGCCAGACGAATGCTTTTTCTGGGCTTTCGGAGACTCGCCTCTCCCGCATGCCCCTCGGCCAGCGCCGCCTGGCTTTCCCTAGACGCTCCAGCGGAGGCGGCAGGCACTTGGCTGCGGTCTCTCCCGCCAGGGAGGCTCAGCCCCAGCCAGCCCGAGATCCACTAGGCAGGCCCCAAGGGGTGGGGCTGAATGAAGAAACGATGTTGGGGAGAAAGGAAAAACCGAAGCACTGTAGAATTTAGGGTCACCAGCCCCCACCCACGCTGGTCTCCATCCCAACAGGCAGTTCTTAGGCTGGTAACCACAGCCTCCCCCAGGGAGGAGACGCCTGAGTTCTAAAGCTCCTCTCCAACACAGCCAGGACTCGGTGTCAGATACAGCCATGGCCAGTATCTAACAATGCTGAGGCTGGAAAAATTAAAAAAAAAAAACAAAAAACACAAATCAAACTTCCTGTGCCTTTCATTTTAACCACAATCCAACAAGTACTGACTGCATGGCACTGGACTCCACTTTCACTAAGCGGAAGTCACTCAGAGACTGTAGGCAGCGACCTTATTGTCGATGAAGTAAGATTCGCTGTGATTTAAATTCATTTCTTCCTTGAAGGAGCCCTCCCACTCTGCACTGGCTCCCCGCCTTACTGTCTCTGCCACCTTCACCAAGCTCTGAACCCTGTCCATTGCTCTCTCTCACTCAAAAGTGGAGAAATGCTACTTCTCAGCCTATTTCAGAAAAAAAAACCTGACACCATACTGAGTGAGACTCCAGCCAAAAAGACAAGAGTCGGGGCTGGAGAACAGCACTCAACCCTCCCTCGCGTGTCTGCACCATCAGCATCTCTATCCCCAAAGCACTAGACAGAGCTTCTGCAGCCCAGCGGTCTTCAGTCTTACCCAGACATCGGGGTGTGACCTGGCACATCACACAGATGGGACCCTGGAATGCCAATGACTAATTACACTTCAATGCAGGGGGCTTAAGTAGGCTTCTGGGTCTGTGGAACTAAAGTAACTGATAAGATGGTTAGGAATGACAGTGGAAATGACCCGTTAATCTAGGGATATATAAAAAATGGTTTCTTTACAGCTTCTGTTTTTAATAGCTGCTAATTTATGCTTTTTACTCAATACAGACATTAAATCCAAGGTCCCCCAAAGAACTTTGCAGAAAGGTCAGCCCAAAGCCCAGACCGCACTTTACAGGCAGTTGTGTGGTGGGGAAATGAGCACGGAACAGAGAAGCAATGCGCCTGGATTGCACAACCAATCCGAGGCAAAGGTGCAGGAGGTTCGAGTACATGTTGCTGGCTAAGTCCCCTTTAACCTATCAGGAGTCTCTCCAAGCTTACGGGAGCAATCTTCAGACTTCACTCAGGCACCAGAAAAAGTGCTCTGCTCAAGGGAAATGTGTCTGCCAAGTGCATTAATCCCACTCAGTGCTAAACAACGCCATCCTTTCACCACTGTCCCTGCCCTCTTTGCTTCACTCTACATATAGTCAAGACCCAGCTCAAGCACTCCCCTTAGGAAGCCCCCTCGGGGTCCCCCAGGAGCCAAAGGCACTCTTCAGTCCTTGGTTCACAGCGCAGTGCAGGTCACGCCCTATGTGAGCTGGCTTCCTGGCCCGTCTCCCCTCCTAACTGATCACCTCCCACAGGGCACCAGCCACGTCTTGTTCATTCCTGGTGTCCAGAATAGAGACGCCCCCAGTGATGGTTTGTGAATGACTAGGTAAATTGTTGAATTAGGTGCAGAGCTATTGTTAGATACCCTAGGCCAAGCCGATAGTTATATTTTCTCAGCTTGGAGGTAAAAGAGGAGTCAGCTGCTTCAAACCAAAGCCCCATTAGCAGCTGCTAGTTTTCCAGCCCACTGAGCAAGCAGATGTGATGCTGTAAAAAGCGCAGAAGATGTGGGTATCCCGTGTTCAGATCCCAGCCCCACCAATTATGGGAGCAAGTGACTTAAACTCTCTAAGCCTCGGCTTCCTCACCTGTAAAATGGAGACAAATGTCCCCACCTCTGAGAGTGGTTGGGAAGATCAAGGGGGTGTGAATGAGCTACATTCGTGTTTGGAACCTTCTCTTCCCGTCTGCGAATGAACCTGGCTCCTGTTTTTTGGCCTTAATCAGGGGATTGTAGGCAAATTCTCTGGGGCGTTAGAAGACAAGCATTCTGGAGTATTCTGTTGAGGGATTTTAGGAAACAGCTCTCCCAGGCATAAGGAGCTCAAGCATAGGGTACTGGGGAAACAAAAATAAACTGAAGCATACGTTGTAAAAATGAAAGCAAGCCAGATTTGGGTGGTTTGGTTTTTTTTACACTTAAGACTATAAATTGGTTCATTATGGAGGCAGATTTCAATAAATTAGAGATAAATGAGATAGCAGAGGAAAAATGGGGGAAAGACATTTACAGAGCTCCGGCTGTGAACCCAGCAAGATACTAGGCGTTTTCACGTACATTTCCTCATTTAACCTTCATGATGTCCCCATTTTAACAAATGAGAGTCAACGCAGTTAAGTGCAGGGCACAGGGTCACATGGGCTCTGTGGTGGAACCCTGGTTTGTTTTACCTCTAAAGTCTGGGATTTTTCCACCACTGAGTTTTCAGAATGGAAAAACTCCAAATAAGTCGGCAGGTCAGCATAGATTTCCTCACGGGGAAAGGCCAAGAATGGACCAGTCAACTTCTTAGGGATCAAAGTATATTTCTTTTGCAGCCACAGTCATCCCCCACAAGTGCGTCACCAAAGCTGACAAGATAAACTATGATGGCTTAACCCAAACTCCTCCCCACTGTTGGAAAAACAATCCCAACGTCCCGCACACTGGTGAGAATGGGCTGGTAGCTCCACGTTGATGTGGAAGATAACATGCTTCTCAGATGAAGAGCGTGTCTGAGAGGGGAAACCAGGAACACGGACAGCTGGTGAGAGTTTAGCCTCTGACTGAGGAGCTGGTCTTCCTTTTTTCCCTACAGATGTCCCAGTGGATCCTTGGCCTCCAGGACCCATTAAGGTGAGAATAAGATCTTTGGCCGGTTGGAACTAGCCTAAAACCGCAAGGCAGCCATGGAGACGGCGTATGAGCTACTCAATTGCAGCCAACCATTGCTTTCCGCTCCATTCGAACTCAACGGCTCAGTGGCAGTGGCCAACATCTCAAACCAGACAGAGCCATACTATGACCTGACCAGCAATGTGGTCCTCACGTTCATCTATTTTGTGGTCTGCATCATTGGGTTGTGCGGCAACACGCTTGTCATTTATGTCATCCTCCGCTATGCCAAGATGAAGACCATCACCAACATTTACATCCTCAACCTGGCCATCGCAGACGAGCTCTTCATGCTGGGTCTGCCCTTCTTGGCCATGCAGGTGGCTCTGGTCCACTGGCCCTTTGGCAAGGCCATTTGCCGGGTGGTCATGACTGTGGATGGCATCAATCAGTTTACCAGCATTTTCTGCTTGACAGTCATGAGCATTGACAGATACCTGGCTGTGGTCCACCCCATCAAGTCGGCCAAGTGGAGGAGACCCTGGACAGCCAAGATGATCAACGTGGCTGTGTGGGGAGTCTCTCTGCTGGTCATCTTGCCTATCATGATCTATGCGGGGCTTCGCAGCAACCAGTGGGGCAGAAGCAGCTGCACCATTAACTGGCCGGGTGAATCTGGGGCATGGTACACAGGCTTCATCATCTACGCCTTCATCTTGGGGTTCCTGGTGCCCCTCACCATCATTTGTCTCTGCTACCTGTTCATTATCATCAAGGTGAAGTCCTCTGGAATCCGAGTGGGTTCCTCCAAGAGGAAAAAGTCAGAGAAGAAGGTCACCCGGATGGTGTCCATAGTGGTGGCCGTCTTCATTTTCTGCTGGCTCCCTTTCTACATATTCAATGTCTCCTCGGTCTCTGTGGCCATCAATCCCACTCCAGCCCTCAAAGGCATGTTCGACTTTGTTGTGATCCTCACCTACGCTAACAGCTGTGCCAATCCCATCCTGTATGCCTTTCTGTCCGACAACTTCAAGAAGAGCTTCCAGAATGTCCTCTGCTTGGTCAAGGTGAGCGGCACAGATGATGGGGAACGGAGTGACAGTAAGCAGGACAAATCCCGACTGAACGAGACCACAGAGACCCAGAGAACCCTCCTCAATGGAGACCTCCAGACCAGTATCTGAACTGCCTGAAATATATCGCCAAGCTCTGCCAACTGGCGATGTGCCCCTTACCCCCATCCACTTCCTTTCT